TTGAAACCAGCTCTTTCAAAGTGTGTGCTGAAAACAATTAAAGCTGTCTTACTTCATTGCACGTGCAATGTTTATATGTTGAGGCTGCAATCCTGTACCTACAGCGAAGTCCCACTGAACCGAATGCATTGCATAGGATTGTACAGTGGTACCTTGGTTTAAGAACAGCTTAGTTTATGAACAACTTGGATTAAGAACGCTGCAAATCTGGAAGTACCGTATTTTTCGCTCTATAAGACGCACCAGACCACAAGACGCACCTAGTTTTTGGAGGAGGAAAACAAGAAAAAAAATATTCTGAATCTCAGAAGCCAGAACAGCAAGAGGGATCGCTGCACAGTGAAAGCAGAAATCCCTCTTGCTGTTCTGGCTTCTGGGATAGCTGCGCAGCCTGCATTCGCTCCATAAGACGCACACACATTTCCCCTTACTTTTTAGGAGGGAAAAAGTGAATCTTATAGAGCAAAAAATACGGTAGGTGTTTTGGTTTGTAAACTTTGCCTTGGAAGCAGAACATGTTCCACTTCCTGTTGAGTGTGTTCCATTTGTAAATTGAGCCCCCCGCTGCTATTGGAAAGCACACCTTGGTTTAAGAACACTTTGGTTTAAGAACAGACTTCCGGAACGGATTAAGTTAGTAAACCAAGGTACCAGTGTACCACAATGCAATAAATCATCGTGGCTCAAGCAAGTAGGAGCTCTGTGAATCTGTGTGCATGTGTGAGTGTCACTACGGCAGGATAGAAAGCAGAAGCCGGAACCACTTAACATCAAAAATTCACTCAAGGCAGCAAAGCCGGCAGATTTCCACTACAGCGGTGGGAAACACAAACACCTATTTAAAGCTCAGGTATGAAAATACTCCTCCGGATTACTAAACTGAGTAAAACCAACAGATTCCTTCCTGATCCCCGTATTGTTATGAACCAAGATGTATTCAAAAATCTCCACCTCATGAATATATTTTCCATATTACAGCTTGGATACAAAGTGTTGCTGTTCCAGTGAAAGGAGAAGAGGAAGGGAACCTCTTTGGTCATGAAAGGATTGTTTTTGACAGAGCAGATAATAATTGCATTAGAAAGATGACACCCCTCCTCCCCCGAAAAAAAGGTAGGAACATAGGAAGCTGCCTTATACAAAGTGCAACCATGGACCCATCTAGCCTAACCTAGTCTACGACTGGCAGTAGTTATCCAGGATTTCAGAGAAGGGATATTCCCAGCCTCACCTGCAAGGAATTGCACCTGGAACATTCTACAGGCCAAGCACACGCTCCACCACCAAGCTACAACAATTTGCTCTTCAGTCTGTTTTCGCAAGCTCTTTTGCCCTGTATCTTATTTTATTTATATCCTGCCTCTTCTCCCAGTGCAGGACCCAAGGCGGAACACCGCATTAATTAAAGCAGATACAGCTAGAACACATACAATAAATATTTTTAAAAAGCAAATGAGCAACCCTATTGAAAACTGCACTGGAGACTCTTAACGCCATTCTAAAGCACACACAAAAGTACAAGAGCCTCCCTCAGAAGACCCTGCCACAACAGCCAGGTAGCAAGCAAAGGTCTGTCAGGACAAAAATCTTTGTATTTGCCTTATTTACCATGTTTCATAAGTACCGTATTTTTTGCTCTATAAGACTCACTTTTTCCCTCCTAAAAAGTAAGGGGAAATGTGTGTGCGTCTTATGGAGCGAATGCAGGCTGCACAGCTATCCCAGAAGCCAGAACAGCAAGAGGGATTTCTGCTTTCACTGCACAGCGATCCCTCTTGCTGTTCTGGCTTCTGAGATTCAGAATATTTTTTTTCTTGTTTTCCTCCTCCAAAAACTAGGTGCGTCTTGTGGTCTGGTGCATCTTATGGAGCGAAAAATACGGTAATCCTCTCTCCACCTCGCAATCCCTGTATAGGCTGTGTTTTTGAGCTATGAGACGTCTTCCACTAACTAACACTTGTGCACGAGTTAGTGTTTATTATTATTATTTAGTTGCTTTCCTCTCAAAAGTGTACCAAACCAACTTACAAAAACAGGTTGGCACTAACAACTGTTGCTCTTTCCACTCAGGGTCAAGCCCCAGGTCCTTCAGAGTTTAGGGCAGTTGGCCCTTGCTTACTTCCAGAGCATGCAGCACCACAGTCACCCTGCCCATAACAACCAGTAGGTACGTCCATCCGTCCTACTGCAAGAGGCAATCTCTGGTCTCCCTTCAGCCTTTCCCCCAAGGTTTTTAAGTCGCCTGGGAGCTTGCAGCCTCTTACTAGCCTTACCTGTTTGCACCTGCAGCAATCCCAGATGATTATCGGTCAGTCAGTCTTGTAGCTTCTTCCCAACAAAGTGATTTCAACCAAACATGTTCTACAATGCAACAGACTGCTTTGGAAGGTAGATGGAATATCCTTCATTACTGGACGGCTGCCTATCAGGGATGCTGTGGAATAGTTAATTTCTTGCCTCAGCAGGGGTTGGGCTAGATGACCTTTGAGGTTCCTTGCACCTGTGTTTCTATGATTTCCAGTATGATCTGATGGTGGATAATGCAGTTCTGCTGAGGAAGCTAAACAGGACTGCTTCTGTTAAGAGGCCTGGGTGAATCAGTCATCTCAGACCCATTACATTATAAATTTAATAATAATCAGGTGGTGTCTATGAAGATTATAAATATAATAAGCATTGTTAGACTGAACCAGTCTAGCTTTGCATCTTGGCTAATCCTTTTTATATTTCCCATAGAGCCATTCCTTCCATTTCTGATGTTCATGGTTGTGAGTGCTGTTGCTTATGCAGCCAAAACAGAACTACTCACACAGAATAGGGAGGTATCAGCGGCCTCGGGGGAACCCAGTCTGTAGATTTAAAAATAAATAAATAAACTGGAAAATAACTCCCAAGCAAAACCAAAAACCCTCCCAAATGGCCCAATGAGGACTGAGCACGTTGCCTGTTGTTTAAGGATAGAAAACCAGGTCTTTCTTGTTGCAGTTCTTGTTCTGCTTAATATCAATTTCTGCATGGTCTGATGCTTAAAATGATCGAGCGATTGCCAGACTGGAATCCCTATCATTTGTGATCAGTATGTATCAGTAACATTTACAATACTTGATGATTGCAAAGGAGTCATTGTTTGGAGTGGCAGCTGCTCTGAGACACAGGAGTGCATTTTCACCCATCACCTCACCTGCAGGGGCAACTGATGCCACCACAAAGGCGTGTTATGAGAAGGGGCTGTAGCTATCTTCACTAACACCAATCTTGTTTTTCTGTTCCTCCTGGAATGGAATGCTCCGTGTACTGCAAAGGGAGAGATGGTCATTTAATTCTGCCCAGAGCATTGGCAAAGTCTTAAAACCTTTTCAGAAGCATCCCCTTGAAGGACAGAAGCAGGACAAAAAAATATATACAGCCATGCAGAAGCTTTAGCTACAGCCCGCTATTATATTGCAGCAGAGAACTGGCAGAACTTGCTACGCCACAGCTTGCTGCCTGGGAGTGTTTGTTTGGCATGTCGGCTGTGCGCAATAAGCAAAGGCATGCAGCCTAGTAAGCCATGATCTGCTGCTTCCTAAAGTGCATGCCTATTTGGAAATACGACACATTTACCGTATTGTCTGTCTAACCACCAATATGGGCTGCAGATCCCTTACATGTTGCTGCAGACCCGAAACCAAGAGGTCCTAAAACTATATTCATTGAGCAGCTGTGAGTAAGCCAGTTATCTGGGACAGCAACAGTGGCCTCAATTAGGAGTTGCTATAAAGGAGGACCTGTGGCTCTCCAGATATTGTTGAGACCATAACTTTCATGATCTGTGAGCACTGGTCAGAGCTCATGAGAGTCCCAACAACAGCTGGGTTGACCTGAGGTCTTGTTGCAGCAAGAAAGCATTCACCTGGTTCTTCGTGTCTCTTTTGATTCCTGGTCTTTAGGAACCAGGATTCTACAGAGCTGCAGGAACCAGAGAAGACTGTGTAGCATAGTTCCCCATTGAGGATTTGATGCGAAGATGCTGGTTTCTTCTAGTGAGAAGCATCATCTAGAGAACTTTCCTTGTCCTTCACACTCATTACTCACAATGTCCCCTATCTCCCCCAGTACAGACACATCTTCTGCAGAAGCATGCAGGAGAACAGAAGTTTTATGCTATACATATTCTGGTGTGTATTTTTTTCTTGCTACTGGTATTGCCCGATCTCTATAATGCTATTGAACCCAACTTTCAAGTTCTGCAGAAACAAGCTTTAAAAAGTAGGAGCAGCTGAATGTGACATGCAGTGCTCAGGGTTTCAGTTCTCCATCTCTTTCTGACTCCCCAGGATTAAAAGACAAGACTGTGTGGCATAGTGGTTACAATGTCAGACTAGGGGCCTGGGAGACCAGGGTTCAAATCCCCACTTGGGCATGACGTTGGCTTGATGACCTTAGGCCAGTCAGCCTAACCTACCTCACAGGGTTGTTGTGAAGATAAAATGGGGAAAGGGAGAACCACGTACACCACTTTTAGCTCCTTGGAGAAGAGGGGTAAATGTAATAAATAAATAAAATGAGCAAGAAATCCTGGCAGCCCCAGAGTTCAGCTTCTTTTTTGTTCGAGGTCCTTCAGTGTGTAATTTGGACCTCTCTCTTGAAACAATACTGCATGTAAGGAAACTTGTATTTAAAAATTGCTCCTAGCACACCTTTGTTGGACTCCCATGTTGAAAGCTGTTCTGCCTGTTCCCCATTTCTACCCTCACCCGAATTCTTAATCATGCTTGATAACTTGCTTCCATGCATCTCCCAACAGGATGAGTAGTTAGTAATTTTTCATTTTATTTTTATTTGTGTGTGTGGAGGGGGGACACCCTCAAAGTGCCCTTTTCTATATATATATAAAAAGCCCAGCATTCCAGCTAAACATAGACAGGAGAAAAAACAGTGCCACTTCCCTGCAAACTACAGAACGCTGAGTTAGAATCAAGCCAGTTTTGTGAGCCACTGAATTAAGATTGTCATAAATATGAAAGGCAAGCACAAGTTCATTTATTTATAGCAAAGGTCTTGGGTTACAAGAGGTCAGTTCTTGCCATCTTGAAGAAACGTTAAACGGGTTAAGTTATTGCATACATGTGCATTATAATTTAGCAGCAAGTCATTCACAGAACACATTTATTTCCCCTTCCTACTGCCTTCTTTATTTAAATTTTTTGGTTTCGTCTCTCAAATTGTATATATATATATTTTATGTATTTATTTATTTATTTATTTATTTATATATATGTACGTATATAGATATATAGTTTCGGCTTTTACGAAGCATGTAACACCACCTTTAAGTTAATGGTCTTTTATTGGAAAAAAAGACTAGCATTTACAACTTGGAATGGACATAACTGTAATATCTTGAACAGCGATGTTGATAGTTGTGCTGAAGTCCACAGGCTACCTCGCCAGCTCCAAGTCTCATTACGGAAGGTTTTTTAAAAATGCAAAAGAGAGAAGAGAGAGAGAGAGAGAGAAGAGAAAGAGAGAGAGAGAGAGAGAGAGAGAGAGAGAGAGAGAGAGTGTTGTGTGTCCAAAAAATGCTCCCGCCCCTTCATGGAGGTTCTCTTTTTTTTAAATAAAAAATAAAAGTTTTGTGAACGGTAACAGCCCAACACCCGTTTCACAATAGTGCAATGCAGACAATATTAAAACCAATGTTAACACAGACATGCCACCCATAACCTCCGCTGCATTTGGGGGTGGGGGGGTGGGGAGGACACTGCTTCTACATACAGGATAATCTTTTCCACCTTTGGGGGGGGATTCCTTCTAAACATTTTGCATCCTTCAACTATTTTTGCTGCATACCATCCTGAGGTATAGACCAATTTGAAAATAAACCAGCTATGACAATTTTATAACTACAAATTGAGCTAGAATCCACTTTTGGGCAAAAGAGTGGATGATTTTTTTATTTGTTTTTTTTTTTAAGATTTGGTGTTTTTTTCCCCTCTCTTTTTTTTAAAACTGTTTTAATACAAACGTCTGACTGTGCTCAATTGTCAAGCTGCATGCATGAAAAACTGGCCAGCCCAAACAGTGTAATAGTCATTAGCAAATGGAACTTTGAGGAGTTCACTAAGTGCTTTCTTATTTTTAAAAGGTAGTACAATTATTTATATTGGAAAAAACTGATAAGTTTAACTCGATCTTTTTTGGGAACAGGACCACCAACCATTACATGCAGTTTGTGGACAGAAGGTATTTTGACATTCAGTTTTGCTATACAGAAACAGAATGAATAAATGAACATTTTTTTTTTTTTGCAAGAGGTAAGTAAAAGATTCAATTTGATTCTTCTAGAGGAAAAAAAAGGTGAAAGGAAGTCTCTTCATTTTGCAGTCATCATCTGTACGAATTCTGAAAAGAGACAAAAGAAATCCCACTACTTTTAATGCATTTTGAAAGCAAGTACTATAAATAGCTTTCAGCAAACACTGAAATTATGGGACAAGCAAGGAAAGTGAGCAACCTACAGCTTCTAGTAGGGCAGGGTTTCCCAAACCTGGGTCTCTAGCTGTTGTTGGACTACAACTCCCATCATCCTTAGCTAGCGGGACCAGTGGTCAGGGATGATGGGAACTATAGTCCAAAAAAATCTGGAGACCCAGGTTTGAGAAACACTGTTCTAGGGCATCGACGGGGAATCACTGGTCCTCCAGCTGTTGCTTGTCCACAACTTCCCTCACCTCCAACTTGCCATGCTGGATAAGGTAGACAAGAGTTGACGTCCCACAACATCTGGAAGGCCCTGTGTTCCTCATTCCTGCACAATGCTAATAAATAGCTACAGAGGAAACCACACCTCACCTTCATAGTTGACTTGTCCATCTCCATCAATATCTGCTTCTCTGATCATTTCGTCTACTTCTTCATCCGTTAGCTTCTCTCCTAAGTTTGTCATAACATGACGTAGTTCTGCCGCACTGATGTAACCATTGCCATCCTGGAAAGACAAGTGACAGAGGATTGAGATTACGGTAAATAATTTTTTTTTTAACCCAGTAGAGGTTGTCACCCACTCTGAACTTCTCAAGCCAGCCCAGAACCTATATCGTAGGTGGGATGGACACACAGCCTAACATGTGTAAGACAGCTGCCTAGGCTTTAGGGCAAGAATTTGATGGCTTGTGCATGTGTTGTGTATGCCAGTTCCACTTTGATTGCCCTTATTCCTAAATAAGCATGCACAGGTTTGCCCACTTAAGGTTGCACAACTCTAGAGAGCAATGCAATTCTACCTTCTAAAATGATAGCCTGAGAAGAGGTAGATGGGGATTATGATTAATTATTACTCCTACTCCTACTACATTCCTATCCCACTTTTCATCTAAAGAACTAACGAACTGAAGTCTGACTCAACAGGCTGTAGTCCTCAAGCCGCTTATTTTTAGTTATCTTGGTGGAACAGTTATTTAGGAAACAGATTTAACATCAATGATTCTGTCTACAACCTCTCTGCCTGCCTTATGGAGCTATCTCTAGTATGGAACCACTTAGGAAATGTCAAGAAATCCCTTGAATAATCATTTAACAAAACTCTTTGATGCAAGGGAAGCTGCTGCGATCATTGTTTTGCTTCATTTGGTGGGAGGTTCCCACCCCCCCACTCCAATCTACAGCCAAGTCCGATAACTAGGAAAAGCTGGGAGCAGTGGAATATTCCCCACAACTCCCATTCACAGGGAACAAATCAAGTGTGACAGAATAAGATCATGGAAGCAAATAACACTGAAAGTATGTTCAGGATGTTCACAAAGACTTAATATTTTTCTTTTTGAATGTCAGCCACAAGCCAATGGCATCACTAACCACTTTTGAAATCCCCTGAACTTGTTTTTAAAACAGGATTCATGCAGGATGGGAAACTGCTATTAAAAAAAACATGATCCAGAAGTCCTGCTGGGTATATATGGCACTAATCATGTAGTTCCTCAGATTTTTGCCCTCTATTTAGCAGGACATTTTATTTAAGCCAGAACCCTGCAATTGATGTTATCTGGTATACCAACAGTACAAAGAAGTCCAGAGTGTTGGGTTGTTTTTTTTAAAATTACTAAAAAACCAGGGCAAATTTGCATTGTTAAATCATTGGCCTATTTCAGACGTGAGATCATGGTTTGGGAGGAGCCTTTAACACATTGATACAGGGGAATTTGCTCCAGGAGAGGGACTACATGCAGGGGGGACCAGATGTTCAAATTTAGGCCAGGGAGACCAGGCCTCAGTTGTTTACATAGCCACAACCCTCCACGGGGCATCCATGGGGAAATTACCCCCTCTCAAACTAACCTCATTCAACGGGATAAATACTGATGCAACAAGCTTTCCTCCTCCCTTACTTAGAATTCAGCTGAGTCTAAGTGGAAGAGTCATTTCACACATTAAAAGGTAAAGGTAAAGGTACCCCTGCCCGTACGGGCCAGTCTTGACAGACTCTAGGGTTGTGCGCCCATCTCACTTAAGAGGCCGAGGGCCAGCGCTGTCCGGAGACACTTCCGGGTCACGTGGCCAGCGTGACAAAGCTGCATCTGGCGAGCCAGCGCAGCACACGGAAACGCCGTTTACCTTCCCGCCAGTAAGCGGTCCCTATTTATCTACTTGCACCCGAGGGTGCTTTTGAACTGCTAGGTTGGCAGGCGCTGGGACCGAGCAACGGGAGCGCACCCCGCCGTGGGGATTCGAACCGCCAACCTTTCGATCGGCACACCCTAGGCGCTGAGGCTTTTACCCACAGCGCCACCCGCACCCCCATTTCACATTACAGAGCAACAAACCAAACAATTTGCCACAAAGCATGCACTCATGAAGCATCAGTCAATCCTGGTTGTCTGACATTTGTCATGTTCTATATTTTTGTAGATGCCCATCTCAAAATGGTTGTGTGAAGAGGTCCTCCTTCAAGCTCTCCAGAATGCCTTTTGCCCTTGCAGTGGGAATTGTAATGTGTTTGGTACACAGTCATTTTATCATTCCCAAAAAAAGCTGGCTTGGTAAATTACACCAAGTAAGTGACCCAGTAGAAATTTGATTATGGCCTTCTACATAAAAAGTCATTGATGTATACTGAACCTTATGAGGGTCTCTCTCTCTCTCTCTCTGTGTGTGTGTGTGTGTGTGTGTTTTTCAACTGCATTCAGCAACTGAGAAAACTCCTTATTTTTGCCGTAACCAAACCAACAACTCAGACATCCCAAACACCCAGTCAATGCCTCCAAATATACCTTGTCAAAGACTCTGAATGCCTCACGAATTTCTTCCTCGCTGTCTGTGTCCTTCATTTTTCGGGCCATCATGGTCAAGAACTCGGGGAAGTCAATAGTGCCATTGCCTTTAAAATAAAAAAGGGGTGGTGGTGAGAAGAGAATAAATTATAGCAAAACTTATTTTTAAAAAACTTTATTAAAAAAATGGCAAACACACTCCTTTTCCCTTTACGACAACAGAGTTTGCTTTCAAAGTTAACAAATCTCAACTTGTTTACCAGGAACAGGGGTGGGGAACATTTTTTCAGCCTGAACACAACATTCCTTATTACGCAGTCTTCCAGTGAGCCATGGACCAGAGGTGGGTAAGGCCAGAAGCAAAAGTGGGCAGAGCAATGGATGTTCATTTTACCTCTGTACCAATGGCCTGTTGTCACACACACACACACACACAGCCCTCTGTATCTTTCATCCGGGAAAGCAAGCAGAATTATCAGAGTCCAAGGACCCATTCTAACTAGGTAAAAGCACTCAAGGAGGGTGCAAAGGAAGGAGGGTGTGACCTGGAGAGAAGGGGGTGACTAGGGAGAGACCTGAGGGACAAAGAGGTCTAGAGAACTGCACTCAGCCCCTGGTCCTGAGGCTCCACATCCCTGTCCTAAAAGCATGGTTGTTCTGTTAATATATGTGAACAAGACCAGCCTAACTTGATTTAACATCCTTTGCAGTTGGTTCACCTTCCAACAGGATTCTTCTCTGGACTGCCATTACAACCTGAAAGTCCAGCAAACTTGGAGCTACTCTTAATTCTTCTCCTTGAATCACTACTGCGGGTCAAGTTGGTAGCTGGTGTATTTAATATACAGACACTACTTAGAAGTGCTGTGAGGGCTTTACAGCTTACAGTGTCCGTTGAAAGACCAGGTATTGATCTAGACATGTAAGAAGCTGGGCCTCTTCAGAAGGACTCTTTAAGATTGTTCAAGAGGTGTTACAATGCATTTTGAATTGAGCTATTGTTAGGAGAATACAATGCCAACAAATAAACTCTCTAGCATTGTCACCTCCTGCCCACTAGGGGCACTCCTGCAACTTCATACACTCAAATAGGTTTTTGAGCCAGAAGCGATAGCTTCCATCTCTACTATTAAAATCTTGAATTCAGGTCCTGCTTCCAGGTTTCCCACAGGCATCTGGTTGGCAACAGTGAGAAGAGAATGCAGGACTAGATGGGCCACTGGCCTCACCAAGCAGGCTCTTATGATGTTCAACAGAACACAGAAGCGGGCAACAATTCTATTGCCAACCCCCAGAAATAGGCACATGTTCTTTGATTGCCCTTAAAAGGGGGCAATACTGTGACCATTTCGCTTAGCACCTGACTTAACATGTTCCATGCTTTCAACAGCAATTTGCTGAACACAAAAATCCCAATAAATTCCCTCAAATTAAGCTCTACTCTTTTTAGTAGAATTGATGCCAACTGAACCATTTCTTAAATAATGGTTGTTGTTGAATCCCACTGGGGATAAGATGTGTTAGTCAAATGTTAGCGATGGGTAATCTGTTTATGGCGCCAATAGCAGGACGAAAAACCTCTTTAAAAATAAACTTTAAAATACGGTATGTGTAACACCAGCAGAATGTTTATATTATATATATATATATATATATATATATATATATATATGGTGACATGATGCCCAAGATGTTAGCAACTCCAGTTCCAAGTATTATATCTGTTGTGTATATGTATTTTGTGAATATATATATATGCTAACATCTTGGGCATCATGTCACCCTCAGACACCCCCACTGCTACCCTGAGGGATAGCTCAGTTGTTAAGAGCATGAGACTCATCTCAGGATTATGGGTTTGAGCCCCATGTTGAGTGAAATATTCCTGCACTGCTGAGGGTTGGACTAGATGATCCTCGTGGTCCCTTCCAACTCTAGAATTCTGTGATACCCCTCCAGCATTTTTGTTTTATTAGTTGGACGTAGCGGGGGAGGAACTGCCTGCTTTTTGCCACTGTTTTATTTGTTTGGAGGAGGTGTATAATTGTATTGCAATGAGGTTCTGAATGCAGCCAGGTTTTCCCCTGTGAAATGGGTATTTGTGGTGCGCATTAACAGTCTTAGATTTTCCAGGCGGGCCCCTGGCCCAGGAAGGTTGGGGACCCATGATTAAGAACATACGAAACATTAGCAAATAATAAGGCATCTGGGATCACCTCCAATTAGCCTATGTGATACCATCTGGGATCTTAGTCACTGAGTTCTTGCACAACACCCATGTGGTTTCAACATGGACTTGTTCAGGAGGAATTTCTCATATATAGTTTTGGTTCACCTCCTTCCAGGCGTTTCTTTTTAGGAAGCTGAGACTAGAGGATCATAGGGTAGGTGCCAGAAAGCACTGGAAGGGACATCAAGGGTAGTCTATAGTCTACAGCATTCCTCATAGGTAGTCATCCAGTCTCTGCTTAAAAAACTATTAGCAAAGGAGAGCCTGCCCCACTGTCATTCAACTCATACCGTTGGAGGAAGAGAACATAGGCTGAAGAAAGGGCTGTGAGAGGAAGGGGGCTATTTTCCCATTATTTGGACCTGCTGTACCTGAACTGAGTGTAAAGAGTGCAGCTGAATGGGACATAGCTGCGGGCAGCCTGAGGAAGTACCATCCACTTTGGGCCTGCCCATAAAATGCAAATCTAGAGTGAGAGACCAGGATGTCGTCTGCTGTTTCCAGGAACCCTTCTCATTGTGAGACTTTTGTGGGTGTGCTGAGAGTTTGTTTGGGCCTTGAGTGAGAACTCAAAGGCTGAGAGGGAAGGTATGTCAGAAGGAGAATGAGTTGATTTATATATATTAGTAACTTTATATTAATGTAACATTTTATATGAAACTGCATATTTTTGTAATATTTTGTTTTAAATTTTCTGTTATTGCTTCAGTTTTTTGTACACCACTTAAGAGATATTATTAACATAATAAGTGGTAGAGAAATTAAATAATAACATTGGGAAGTTATTCCTAATGTTTAACTGAAATCCTCTTTCTTGCCATCTGAATCCACAGGTTCAGTTCCAACCCTCTGGAGCAGCAGGAAACAAATTCGTTTCATCATTCATTTTGTCCTTTACTCTAGAGGAGGGGTGCCCAAACTTTTTTCAAAGAGGGCCAGATTTGATGAAGTGAACATGTGTGAAAGCCAAAGTTTTTGAGCTTTTTTTTTAAGGATTTGACCGCAATAAATAAACTGCCATATGCCATAAGGGCCAGAGAAAATCTACCAGGGGGCCAAATTAGGCCCCCAAGATGGACTTTGGGGGATCTTTGGCCCTCCCAATTTTGGCTGGACTGCATCCCTGGCAATTGGAGTCAAGCAACATTTGGAGAATCACAGGTTAACCACCACCCCCTGCTGTGGACCAAACAAATTCAACTCATTCCACCTTTCCTCGCAGAACTTCTTATCCTGATGGATCAGGCCAATGGCCCATTTAGTTCAGCATCCTATTCTCACAGTAGCCAACCAGAACTTCCTCTCTAGGAAACTCACCAACTTTGTCACTCTCCTCCAGGTAAATTATATTTAATATATATCCTTCTTAAACTGCAGGACCAAGAACTAGGCGCAGAATTCTGGATGAGGTCTGACCAAAGAAGAATAGAGGAGTACTAATATGTCACCTGATCTGGACAGTATCAAGAAAAGTAATGGTACCACTATATTTTACTTTGAGCCAACCTAAAAAGAGAGAAATTCCCAGTGGACGTATATATATATATATATCCATATACCTGTTCACCTAAAATGCCACCATGATTTATGTACGAATAACCATTTATTAAGTCATGTCTGTACATATCAGGAGCTTAAAAGCATTTTGAGCAAGAAAGCCAATGTTTCATAGGATTTCTACAACTAAGCATTTCCAAAATTGCTATGTTCATGCAACAATGGTAAGAAGTTCACCTCTTCAAAATGCTTACCATCAGCATCTACCTCATTGATCATGTCTTGTAGCTCTGCTTCTGTTGGGTTTTGACCCAGCGACCTCATGACTGTCCCAAGTTCTTTTGTTGTGATGGTGCCATCACCATCTTTGTCAAATAGAGAGAAGGCTTCCTTGAACTCTGGAGGACAGAAAAAAGACCCGTCGCAATTTAGCACCATGACTGACATGAAGGGCATTATCAGCTGTAAACTGCTTAGTTCAAGCGATGATCCCCACAGACAAATTAAGACCACGTTCCACCTTGTTGATAATTTACATATGCAAATCTGATACTGGACACCAACACTGCATAAAACTGTTTTAATACCATGCTTGGAAGTATCAATTTGCTTGTCCTAGGAATGCTGTTTGTTGTTGAGAGTAAATGAGAGCCAACATGGCAGCCTCCAGAGGTTTTGCAATACAATTCCAATCAGACAGCATGGCCAATGATGATGGTAGTCCAAAAAAAAAGAGGGCACCAGACTGGGGTTTCAAAAACCCCACTCAGCCATGAAGCTTACTTGGACCAATCTCCTTCTCTCAGCCTGACCTATGTTAGATGGGTGCTGTGCAACTAACTCCCATGTTCTGAGTAACTTGGGGAAGGTGGGATACAGGTGTGAAAAAAACAGTTATGGCATTACAGACTGCTAGGCAGAAGAGTAAATTGCCAATGGCAGTGTTTGCACATAACACTAACCCATGGTTTGTTTTAATCAAAGTTTATTCAACTGAAGTGGCTTCATGGATGACCAAACAAACCTTGTCTTGTTTCTCTAAGGTTTGGTTTGTTTCTCAGCAGCTCATGTCTCATCCCTTTGTAGGTTGGTAAGGATCTGAGGTGGGGCAGCCAAAAAACAGAGTTAAACAAAGCTGCTGGGTCCAAACCAAAACTTAAAAACAAGCCATAGTTTGTAAGTCAACAACAAACCACTGTCATTTGTTGGCAGAAAGCAGATCATGGTTAGTCTGCTTGGCTGGCTCACACATTCAAACTGACTACAAGCCACAGCCTAGTGTTATGTGGTAACCAGGGCACGGTTATGCCAAACTCCTTCTGTAACCATTAGCAACCTCTGTTCAGAGTCAATGTCTCTCGGGTTAACATCTTTTTTTCCTCTCCTAGTTCATGTCAGTTGTTCAAATAATACAAGCTCCCTATTGTTATGAACTGCAGCACATTAACCACAATTTATTTCTTTAACCAGCCAGCATAATTCTTCAGCATACAATGCAGCACAGAGAGTGTGCGTTAAATGTAATTTCACAACACCCACCTCACAAACCCAAAGCCTGTCAGGTTGAAAGACAGCGGAGAACCTTATAAGCAATCATGGCCAAATGGAGATCTGAACCCAAAAAGTCTCTCACATCCCCAACCATTCACTATGGCTCAAAATGTTCAAGTCAGTAAGTCCAGTTTTCTGTAACTGATGAACAGTAATTGTCTTTATGGTGAGACAAGCTGTCAATTAACACTGAGCTCTTAAGTCTTCAAACAAAACAAAAATCATCTTTCTTTCTTTTTAAAAAAACTAATGTTGTCTTTGATTAAGACCAGCTGTTGCACTCAAGATATGGTAGACATGATTATGTAAAGGCCTTTGCACCACTGATATTAAACAATAATACTTAACATTTTAAGAATGTTTTCATAGTACTCAGTACAACACAATCCTTAGAACAACCCAGCAAAATGGGTTTCTAATCTCTGTACGCTGCAGGACAGGGGATTGGGCACCAGGGAGGGAGAGGTATGCCCAAGTAGACTCATAGCAGGCTTCTGAGTTCAGCCACTATACTACATTACTTGGAGCAAATTGTACCAAGCTGGAGGAACTATTAAGTATATGTTAATAAGCATCTGTCTCACAAAACACACATCATCAAACCAGCAATGCTTGGGTTCCGACCGCATGAACTAAATAAAATTTATTATTATTTGGTCAGGGCGCAGCCTGACTCCCTCCTTTGGCAATCTTTACAAAACTTTAGTTTATGGTTGCCATCAATTTGTATTTTAATTAATTTTTATAATGTTTTTATAATGTTGCACTGTTTTAGTGTTGTTAGCCGCCCTGAGCCCGGCTTCGGCTGGGGAGGGCGGGATATAAATAAAATTTATTATTATTATTATGAACTACCATGTTTTAGTCCAGGGGTAAACAGATGTTATACGGTGGTCTACTAGTGAACCACTGACCAATTTTTGTTGCTGGGGTTCTTGCAAAAAGTTCTGGACAGGATGGACTCTCGACTTGGTCCAGCAAGGTGCTTATGTTCTTTGGTAACAGTTCATCATCAGGTCTTTTAGAGAAGTGCCAAAGCCCATTAGCTGAGCACATGCTCTGCATACAAAAAGGATCCACTCTAGATCCTTGGCATCTCAAAGCAGGGCTAAGAAAGACGCCAACCCCCGAATCTGAAAGAGAGCCACTACTGTCCTGAGCACTAGGCTAAAGTGACTAATTGTCTGATTTCATATTAAACAGTTTCCTATATAACTGTTTAAAAGATCCTGAATATGCATAGAGGTTCTAACAATCTCAGCCTAACAGCATTGTCGTCGTCATCCAACAATGTTTCAAGTCAACTCAAGGCAGAGGTGAGGATTGAACCAAAGACATCCTAATTCATATCATAGCTCAGTCTTCTAGCCACCGTGCTACATCAGCTTGTGGGGCTGACAAGAATAAAATGCATAGGGATGGAAAATGGATTAGAGGGGAGGAAAAGAAGACAGCCCACACTTGGTCTAGTTCAGCCTCTGCCAACCAACAGCTATGCTGGCTGGGGCTGATGGAAGTTGTAGTCCGAAATGTCGGGAGGGTGGCAGGTTGACCGAGGCCGCTCTAGTCAGTGCAATTGCCCACAAAACTGTGCAATAGCCTTCCTCTAGTCCTAGTCCTGCACAAACGGAGCAGAAACTATGGTTTGATTAAACCTGGAATTAAGTTCCATGTGAGAGGAGAAGGGAATTTGCAGTTCTCCAGTCCATGGTCTTGAGGATTGTCCAAATGCAGCCAACATCATGTGCTGTATTTATTATTGTGGGTTGCCAATTGGACTCAAGAACTGGCAAATTAGATCTGGGGAAAGCCAGTCTCCTGTACTCCACTGAGTGATCCTTATGAACTTTGGGTGATTTTGTGCTTGCTTTGTGTAGCTTCTACCTATCTGAACTTTCAAATTAGTACCTATTTCATGACTACCAACTGGCAAGAGTAACTGCCAGCTCCTGGGCATTTTATCTTCAAGTAAGTGATTATTTTGTTATTTTCGTTATTGCACATTTACAGAAAGAGTCAAACAAATCCATCTATTTCTCTCCTTGGGTTGTATCCAAGTAAATTCTACTCAGAGTAAAGCCACTGACACTAATGGACCAAAGTTATTCACATCAAAGGGTTTACTCTTGTGTAGAACTAACATTGGCTGCAACCATTTTTCTTGATCCAGATATAATTGTATCATGCACAAGAAGAGGACAAGGGATGCATGATCAACCAGTATGTTTAAATGACAACGGTAATAAAGTGATATATTATGTTCAAGAAACATAGTACAAAGTGGGAAACATTTTCCTGCCCATTTTTTTAAAAAAAAAAAAAAAATCAACCTACTCAGATAGGAATGTACCATCCTGAGAAACAGCCAAGCGATAGCAGCCACCAAGAATGTTCTGCAATATTTTTGTATTCAGAATAGGTTGCTAGGCCAACAGAAACCATCTCCCTCCATTTAGGATACTTACCAGCAATCTGTTCTTCGGTCAGCTGATCGGCCTACGTAAAGAATAGAAAAGTATTTCAGAACATTGTTTTTACCTGTAGCTATGTCAGTCAAAACCACAAGATGCAATTGCAATTCAGAGGCAAGATGGCATAATGTTATGTTAACGTCTGGCACATCCAGAAGCGATTGGCAACAAATCATCGCTCTGTCCGCTAAAGGGAGAACAAACAGGATTGAGGCAGCACAGCAGGAGTGTGCACAGGGTGCCCAGCCAGAATGGTAGCTTGCCAAGACAGGGAAGCAAGAACCTGCTACATCAGTGATCAAGGAACAGATCCTACCCAGATTAATTTCATATCATGGTTTCATTACAGCCAAGAGGCCGCTAGACTTAGCATGATGCAATGCATGATGTGGGCCATCTAGCAATGCTTAATCCTTCAGGTGCTCCCTCCAAAAACTGACCAGTCAGACATATTCAGGACTAATTTAAAAGCTTGTTTTCCGTTTTTGCATAAAGTCTTAATTTTAAGGCAGCTGAGGCTATACAGGGTGCCTTCGGCTGACATTAGCACTCTGCATACTCAGATATCACTACTTAAGACAAACACAGGATTGCGTTTTAGCAGGTCAGTGTGCTGAAGAGTACAGAGCACAACCCAAGCAGCATTTAGAATACCGTAACTACAAAGTCTCTGTCAATTTCAATGGGACGTGCAAATTATGTACTGAACTCTGGCAAAAGCGGGAAAGAAAAGCTTAACTTGGGCAGATCACATCCATCTAAGCCCCCAAGAAATAAATTTGCCTTCCTGTAGTCTTGAAAACCGCTTCCTCCACCTCACATCGGTGTCTTGACACTGCCAGGGTTAAACCCCACCAAGACAGTTCAGACAGACAAAGCTAAATGGCTGCTGTGGGTGGGCTTTTGAAGACGAACAAATGCGTCAAAAACACAGCTGCAGTTTGGAAGCCTTCGTTGGCAACCACCGATTTGCCAATGCAGTGGATTGCCATTGAATTAAGGCCATCCCAAAGGAAGCTTTTCTATTATTATTATTATTTTTAAAAAAGCAAGAAACAAAAAACTCACAGCATTTGTTGCTGGCACCTAAAAGTGAAACCCTGTCCTATCTCCACCCAGAACTCCAGCACTGGATTTCCCTCCAGTGAGGCAAGTTGACATAGTGATTTACATAACATATCAGAGCAATGCAGAACAGGAAACAGGGCCACACCTAATAGAGGGGGAAAATGATGCAAATCAACAGAAGCAAGAGTGTAGGAAACACTCTGCCTGACATGTGAAGGATAATAATCTAGGTTTTGTACTTGCAAGTTGCTATATTATGCAGCATCCTTGTTTGCCAACCTTTTTTGGTTGACAGGCACAAAACACAGAGTGCCGTGGCTATCGCCAGATAGCCAATATTGTCTTGAAGCAGCCACCCCACCCATTCAAGTAATTAAGAAGGAAAGGGGGGGGGACTGTTGGTTCTGGTGATGTCACCCTTCCTAAACAGGATGAAGGGGGAGCAGGAGATCCACCATGTGTGGCCCATATTCATATCTGGCCATGCAAAATCTTATCCTCTCCATTTCAGGAAACCAAAGCAGAGATTTCCACCCAGAGCACATATACAAACATCCCCCAAGATGTCACAATATTGAAGCAAATATCTGGTGTTTTGCTGTGGAAAGAAAAAGAGGGCCGAAGACTGAATGAAAAGGTCACAATCTAATAAATGCTCGGGGGGACGGGACACCCTCATGTCAGCATTGGATGAGGTTAAATCAAGCTGCACAGAAAAACAAAACAAAAATGGCAAAAAAAGTAGTCTGCTTCCATGGTGCAAAAGAGGAATAAAGGCTTCCTCTTAAGCAGCTACTGCACAAGCAATAAATCTGTTTGTTTGACACTAACAGGAGTCCACCGGTGACCCATCCTTTTCTTGGCATCCCCATCTTGCCAATTATGCTTCTAACACACTTTCCTGTACGCAGATCATGCACCTTCCTTCTCACGCCCACCTAAACCTTATCTGAATCCTCCTGAGGTAGCAATTGCATTTCAGTGTCTTCCTTGAGGCTTACAGGAAACTGATTAATAGAGTCCCTATTAAAACCACCCCAGCTTTTCACCCGCTACTCTCGCTGCCTCTTGGGGTCAGGGTGGAGACAGGAGAGGAAGAAGAGGTGGAGAAATGATGTAATGCTGCCATCATCCAAGGCTTTTTAAGCACTGCTGCGTTTGAGGGGCTTGGGGAAAGGGGTGGGGGAGAAGGAGAAACAGCGCAATAACTGCAGATGTTCCCCCCTGCGCAGTGCAGCTGGTGGAGGAACCGGGATTGTTTCCACCTTCTGAACTGCCATCTCCTTCTAGCAAGCCTGGAAATTTTTCCAATTTCCCCACCCACCAAGGGGAAAGGGATGATCTCTGTCTGCAATAGCCTCATCTATTCCGAAATCTTTGGATTTTTATATTTGTGTTAAGGTAGGGAGCCTTGCCCCCATCTGCAGCCACAGCTATGCCATGCACTGAAGATCACACCCTTGCCTAATGCACTTGGCATAGACCCTGGGAGGGAAAATAAAAAGTCGTCATTTCACTCATTAGCACAGGCAGAAAAGGAACCGGGAGAGAGGGCGCGCTAGAGGGGCTGCAGAGTCCAACCGAGGGGCGCTTTTTCTTTTTCTAAGGCAAGTGTTTTGGTGTCCCTGGTCTGCAGTAAGTGGTCTTGTGTCCCCAGGAAGTCAGACCACGCCGGAATCTGTATTCCCCACTCTCCCCCTTGCGATTTTCCACGCGGGTGACAGCTTCGACCCCTTCTCAGCTCAGCTCCCCGATCCATCCTCAGCTGCAAAGAAGGAACCCTGCATCGACTCTTCTGGGACCCATCCAACGAACTACAAGCAAGCTATAAACATAAACACCCCTTTTCCCGTGCGGGGATGGAGGCTGGGGGGTGGAAGAGAGACTCGCGCCCCAGGCAACCGCCTCCATCCTCGGGAGAGGCGGAGGCCCCACCGTGGGAACCCTCTGCCCACGGGCAAGGCGCGGGCGCAAACACTCCCTCACTCGTGGAGTGGGGTGTCGGCGGGGGCAGCGGCAGCAGGGCGCGCCTCCCGCGCACGCTGCCGCCCTCTCCGCCATCTGCCCCGGAGCGCATGCAAAGCGGAAAGAAAATAAACGAAGCCAAGCAGGCAGCAGCGTCCCTGCCCCGGCTGCTTCTCCGAGCCTTTCCAAACCGCGCGATCGGTGGCCTCTCCAGCATCCCCACCCAGCCTCCGGAGGCGCGAACTGCGAGGAACCCGGCTTGCAGTCATCATGCACCGGGGCAAAGCAGAGCGCGCCAGTTCCGGGCAAGCGGCTTCTCTGAAAGACAGGAACCGGCCACAGCCCCGGGTTATTTTTCCCCTCCCTTCCTTTTGCTGCGGAGAGGAAGCGAGAACTGCAACGAGCCCCGGAGCTGGGAAGAGGGCGCGTGGGAGGCTAGTTGGAGGGTGAAGATTTGGGTTGGGCAAGAAGGATCAAGGGTCGGGAGCGAAAGCGCAAGTCAGAGCTCCCTCTCCACCCCCCACCCCCCTTAGGACATCCGAGCAGACCCCGCAGCGCAGGCAGCCGTGAATGGGGTGGGGGAAGGCAGGCGAGAGAGACCACCGATCCTGGCCAGCTGTGCCCAACGAGGGTCGGCGATCCAGCTGCGCCGCAGCCCGCCCGCCCGCCCCCCTTCTCCAACGCGAAGATCAGCCACACCAGCTCGCCAGCCGAGCTCCGGGACGCGGGCCTGACCGAGTCCCCGGCGCAGCCGCCGAAGCTAGCCAATGCACGGGAGCGGCAGGGTGAGAAGAAGCCGGGCTCCGGTTAGGCTCCCGCCAGCAGCAGCCAAGAGGATCCCGCCGCAACACCAACTTCCGAGAAAGTAAAAGGGGGAAAGGAAGAAAGAAAAGAAAGAAGCGCAAGCCGGCCAGCTCCATCGCGCCCAAGCCGATCCAGATGCTCTTCGTCCATTTTTGCCAAACTGCGAAACGAAGCCAGCCCGCGCGTGCTCCAGGCCAGCTCCAAAGCAACCCGGAAAGTTATCGATTGCCTAGATCAGCGCCTCTCCTCGCAGGTCCAAAGCTACCTACCATTGCGGCTGGTGATGGCGCTTGTCTGTGCACGGGCGAAGGTGCCGAAGGCGGGCGGCTGCTCTCAGCTCTCGCTGCCTCCTCGCTTCGCCAAAAATGCTGTAGGTGTGAGGCTGCGCGGCGCGCTTTTTATACGGCGCGCTGTATCCCTCCGCCGGAGCAGCGCCTTCTTTTTCCCTCTCCCTCCCGGGACTGGGGCATGTGGCAGCAGAGTGACTGCAGCAGGCAGCCATGCCCCCCTCCCCTCCCCTCCCCACACCCGCCCCGGCCCCTCCCCCGCTCCCTCCCAGCCGCCAGCCCAGCTGGCAGGCGGCGAGGAGGAGGAGGAGAGGGGTCGCTGGGCGCGCGCTCCATCTCCCTCCAAGGAAACGGCGGGCAGCAGCAGCAGCAGCCGGCGCATTGGTTTCGGAGCGCCTGCCAGGGGTTGCAGCAGATGCTGCTCGCGGCTTAGGCGGCTTCCGTGTTCCTGCTTTGGTCCGAGAGGCCGAGCTGTTCCGCAGCAGGCAGGGAGAAGGGCAGGCTGTGTGTCTGCTGCTTCCCTCGGAAGCCCCGAGGTGCGGAAGCCTGGCAATAAAAAGAAGAACGAAAAGGGGCCTGGCGAGGATGCGTTTGGGGCCGGCCCTACTGTTAGGCAGAGTGAGGAGGAGAGATCTTGAGGCGACTGGTTTGGGGGTGGAGGGAGGGCAAGAAAAGGAAGCAAATTGTTGCCTAGTTCACTTATTGTCTCTGGAGTTTTGCTCCCAGGCAGGAGGAGAGGAACCTGTGGGAATTTTGTTTCCTTTAAGTTAAGGTGCCAAAATGAACTTGGCAGACCTCCGGTTGTACTGTGCACCTTTGCACCTTGACTTGGAGGAGGAGGGTAGCTGTTCTGCCTCAGGTAGCAAAATGTATTGGGCCTGCCTTTGTGTAGCTAGAATAATAATGACCATTATGATCATTTGTGTAATAAAACACTGCAAGGCTGCACACTAACTCAAAAGCCAGCCATTTTGAATCCATTTATGGGATTTCTGAGTAAACGTGCATAGGATTGGGCTGTATGCAATGGAAGGTTTGGAGTGGACATACAGCCCATTATCTCAGTAGAAAGAACCGGTCCTTCCTATTTCAGTGCTGGCGCTGGCCTAGTTCATTGTAAAGTTGCATAGCGAGAGAGAGATTTAGTTGTGAAATTTGTATTAACCCCTGGTTTAGTCTTGGTGGTGGCCAAGGAGAGGAAGGTTTTAAAGAATGAAGTTTCCATTTTCAATCCAAATACAAGTCTGATTATATTTTTGTACCCCAGATTCAGGGAAACTATTTCCAAAAATTGGGAATATGACACAGAGGAATAGTTAATGCCCTTCCATGCCATTTTTCCTAATTACATGGGGTCTTTCAGCCTCAATTCAACTTAAAAAAAAAAGTCAGGAGACCTGATAAAAGATTTTCCAGCATCAACCTTGCATCTTCGGTAGCCTTTCAGGCCTAAGCATTTTGGAAGGGACCTTGAGTAAAATTGTGGGGAATACCTATGTGGGAGATCTCATTTTGCATTCTTATTGAGTTCAAAGGGATTCTATCAACAAGTTGTGCGTCAAATTGCAATGTTTGATGCTGTTTTGAGTTGGGGATGTCTTTGATTATGGCGGGTAGATCCATATATTAAGTTTTATTTATTTCCTAGAGCTTATACTCCCTCCTTGGATATAAATTATACTCAGGGGGGTTCACAAGGGCTTACAGCAACAAAACAAATGTTTAGTTTTGCCTGAAGAGGTCAGGAATGATAAAAAGCTTACTATGCCTTGATGGCTGTGTAATCTTCAAAACAGTTATTGATCGTCAAGCCCTTTGTAGAATTTAGGTACAATATGATGTTTAAAGCTTTTTTTATAATAATTGGTAAGCTGTTTTTTATACCATTTCTCTTCAAAACAGGACATCTCATGAGAGTTCAAGGCGTATGATCAGAAAACGTCTGGAGCAAATGGGTTAGTTCAGATTGGGAAGCGTGTGAGAGAGAAAGCTGCCATTTGGTGAAACTGAACCACTGTGTAGTACAGGGACTCTCTTTAGAAATCTGATGGGAGAACAGCAGATTTGTTTTCTGCTTATAGGAATCTGCTAGCTTCCACTGTGCTGTATTTGAACATTGTCAGTGAAGAAAATATTACAAAGACGATTGAGTTTCCAGTGCTCTCTCATTTGAAAGATATGAAACTCTATGACAGTGCTATGCACAAAGCCATGGCAGCAATCCTAACTCCACCTACCTAGGAGTAAATCCAGTTGCATTTAATAGGATTTACATCTGAGTATAGACATGGTTAGGATTGTATTGTTGGAAGGGCTATAACTCCCTGTTGCTTCTGCATGTCTGAACACATCTTTACCGTATTCCAATTGGAGAATGTCCAAAACATTTTATAGTAATGTTTTCAGCTCTGGGTGCTAGAACAATGCTCCCCTTTCAGATCCCCTCTTTCAACACTTAGAGTTTCTTCCTCTTCCCCCTCTACCCCAGCAGATCTTTGGAAGGTATCTCAAAAGTTTCCACCTGCAGATTTCTCTTGTTGGCCTTGATGGCAGTCATTACTGAGAACAAATCCCAGTTCTATTATGAAACAATTCACAATATCCGCTTCCCAGATATCATGTTACAGCAGACAGGGCCAATTTTTATGCCTAACTTTCCCCCATTTTCTCTCTGGTGCTTGCTCACCAGTCTTATCTGAGGCTATCAATACTCTCCATCTTTCTCTACCTTTTCCTCAAGACGTGTCTACATGTTGACTCTTAATGATGGAAGTACTGTATTTTTCCGTGTATAACTCGTCCCCATGTATAAGATGACCCCTATTTTTTTGGACCGCAACAAAAAATTGGGGGGAAGGGGAGATTGCCCAGAGTTGTTGAACGTCTTTGTGAGGGGTTCATTGCTGCCAATCCCTCTCCAGCCTGCCCGCCAATTCAAATTGCACACATTGCTGCGGCCACCAATCGTCTGCACGCTCACCGCCAAAAGCCCACCTACACACTCGACACAACCACAGCCGATTGCACGCATGCCTCGCCGCTGTCGTAAATAGTCTGCCCAATTGCTGCAGCAGCAGCCAATCGTCAGCAGGCCTTGGCTCAGCAACCAATCACACGCCCGGGTGCCGCTGCCAGTCTCCTGCTAGCTGCTGCCCACAAATCACCCCCCCCCGCCCCCCGCTATCTGTGTATAAGACGACCCACAATTTTTGCCTATTATTTCTAAGGAAAAGATACCGCCTTATATAAGGACAAATATGGTATTAGATTCCTTGTAAAATATTCTTATACATGTTATACCATCTATATCACTTTAGCTGCTTCTGATCTTCAGTTCCCCAGATCCATGCATCATGCTGTGTGCTGTGGGACTGCTTTGCATTCCCACAAGATTTACCACACAATCTATTCCCTGAATAGGAAGAATTGATTTTAAAAATAAAAATTGGCACTTGCAAATCTCTGCTTTGACTTCAGTCGTCTTTTGGTGGCAAGTTTTATTGCAGTGCCAACAGACACAGCAGTTCCCCTCAAATTGCCTAGTGTTTTTCAAACAAATCAAAGCTGCAAAATGTTACTTGCCTAGTCAGCGACTTCCATATCCATGCCCACATTCCAGCATGAAAACCATACAGTGGTACCTCGGGTTACATACGCTTCAGGTTACATACGCTTCAGGTTACAGACTCCGCTAACCCAGAAATATTACCTCAGGTTAAGAACTTTGCTTCAGGATGAGAACAGAAATCGTGCTCTGGCGGCGCAGCAGCAACAGGAGGCACCATTAGCTAAAGTGGTGCTACAGGTTAAGAACAGTTTCAGGTTAAGTACGGACCTCCGGAACGAATTAAGTACTTAACCTGAGGTACCACTGTATTCCATTCCAGTCTCTCCTAGGTAACCTGCTTGCATGAACAGCTTTGTAGCAAGCTTCCATTTCATTTCAGGTGCTGCTTTAAAGGTTAATTTGGAAGTCCACACAACTTCCAAAGTCTGCTCTATATTGTTGTTCTATATTAATTTTATATTAAGATATCATCTGGCATCTTGGTGGTGTTAGCAATGCCTCCAGGCTGTGCCAGCCGTATCTTTCGTTGGAAGAGTTGCGAGTCAATGGCTCAGGATGGAAGAGTGCTGTTTCTTCAATAGGAGCTCATTTCTGGAATGTGGCAGTCACCTGGGGAATATTTTCCACTCCAACACCACCGAGGGGGGAGGGGGAGCACATTTCATGTTAATCCCACAAGTTTTATTCATTATCTATTTTGTTAATTTCTTCCATTTATGAATCCCCATAAAATATCTTGAAGCAATTGAAGCAATTGCACTGTGAAAACAGTGACAGAAATAGTTGGAAGTCGAACCTGAATTAGCTTTATCAAATATTTCAAGACAACAATCTGGATTTACACAATAAAGAATTAATAAGCTCTTTATCACAAGCAGCGAGACACAGCATAACCAGACACTGGAAGGATCTTTCTGGCACAACGATAGACAATTGGTACAAAACAGTTTGGGAAATAGTCCTCCTTTTGGAGATAAAGAAATAAACTCTGGTTGGCATGTGGATAGATGACTTTCCCCCAGTCTGGTTTAATTTCATAACAGTATTCCAGAAAATGAACAATCCCTTCCATCAGCATTTGTCTCAATCTGATTGATCTAAATCTAAACATAAATTATTATCTTCACTTTGAACCTCCTCCCACATTCATCAATATGGCAATACTTGATATTGTTTCATTGGTAACATAAAAGGAAAGAGGACTTATTACTCATGCTTAATCTAAGCACAACCACAAGGGTTCCTGATTGAATGTTTAGCTATGCAATGTTGAATGTTATCTGTTAACCCTGTTCTATCCTGTTTCCCCTTTGTTTTCGTTTAAATCAACTCACGAACCAAAAACTTCTACATTGACCATTAATAATGAACCATATGCTGTATGTATTACTGCAAATTTATTGTGCTGTTTTTGTGATACACAAATGACATGAGGAGACTTGGTCTATTTATTTGTACCTGCATTATTCTTACAATCCTTGTTAATAAAACCCAATAAAGGTTACCAAAAAATAAAATAAAAGGGAAGATCTTCAGTAGGTGCCAATAAGACAATAGAGACAGCATTCCTGATGTCAAAGAAACTGTACTTCAGAGGTGTTCAGAGCGCTCTTCTTCCTTTCCTGTGAGACTCCTGAATAGAGTCCTGGATTGCGTCTGCTGCTCCAAGCCACAGTCCTAAGGCTTGCACCAAGTCTGAATAACTTTCCCTCTTTCCGTGGAGTGTTTTCTGCCCAACTATCGACTGGTCCAGTCAGATTGCTTACCCTCTTTCTGCCCAACATCCCAACTTCTTAAGGAGGTAACATCAAATTGGGAATGATTGAGTTTCCCAGGATATTTTCATAGAATCAGAGAATAGAACCATCGACTTGTAGAGTTGGGTCATGTAGTTCAAACCCCTGCAATGCAGGAATCTCAACAGTCTTCTGTTTGAAGGTGTCCTTTACTTGAAGAGCTGCCTAGTTAAAGGTGAAGAACTGGAAGTATTTGGAACAGGGATCCCGAACACAATTCATTTGATCACAGTTTCTCCCACTATAGAGAAGAAGAAGAGTCTGGATTTGATATCCCGCTTTATCACTACCCAAAGGAGTCTCAAAGCAGCTAACATTCTCCTTTCCCTTCCTCCCCCACAACAAACACTCTGTGAGGTGAGTGGGGCTGAGAGACTTCAAAGAAGTGTGACTGGCCCAAGGTCACCCAGCAGCTGCATGTGGAGGAGCGGAGATGCGAACCTGGTTCACCAGATTACGAGTCTACCGCTCTTAACCACTACACCATACTGGATGTATTGTATTTCTATTTAAATTATAGTATTATTTTTTTAATCACAAGGAAGGTGTTTCAGATCCCTGCACCTTTTCTTCTGCACCATTTCTATTACAGTGGTACCTCAGGTTAAGAACTTAATTCGTTCCGGAGGTCCGTTCTTAACCTGAAACTGTTCTTAACCTGAGGTAGCACTTTAGCTAATGGGGTTAAGATGGCACGGCCAGAATTGTACATAGCATTCCAAGAGTGGTCTAACCATAGAGTCATATAATACTCAGGAGCCAGAGGGGTTGAGGAATAAAATTTCCAGTGGAAGAGGGTGAGGCATCAGTGCCCCAGTGTAGCTCTATGCGCTTCCCCAAAGACTACCAGAAGCAAAATGAATTATGCAAAATACCACAACTATGCACAGCAGTGCAATGGAAGAGAAACCATTCAAATTTTCCTGATTTATACAGGTCACAGAATTCACCTTTTCTTTGCACAGAGTTGTGGTTACCTTGACAAATAATTCTGATTTATGTTTTCAAAGGGCAAATTACACCCAGATTATGGCATATTAATTACAAAGCATTAGAATAGGAAATCCATACCCAAACCAGAGGTTGATCTGCCAACTGGGCTTTTGGGTCCTGCAGAATAGAATGATGATAGGTTTCAACCATAGCATGCAGAGCTTCAGAGAAGCCAATTATTTGTTTTTAGAGAGGGCATACACTGCAGTTTGACTGAGGTGAAAGGAGTCTTCAAAACTTCAACGTTATATTTAAAGAAATGAAACTTATTTATTTTTAATTTCCTCTGAACTGCCTGCCCTTCACCCAAGGATTCCAGGATCATGCACAATAAGCATAAATAAAATTATATCTATACATAATATAAATACAATAAACATGACCTTCATGACAACATATTGAGAGGCAAAAAAACCTCAAACACAGAACAAGAAACACTAAAGCAATGTAACTCTTTACAATGCTAGATTGGTGACCAAAATGATTGCAGTTATATATTCTAAGTATGTGTAGAACAATGGGGTTTACACAAATCTTTAATTAGATAAGAAGTCTAGGAAGTACCTTCAAAGATTAACTGGCTGGACAATAGGATCCTATTGTGAGCAATTTATAGTGATTTTCCACTAGATTAGGTTATGTCACCATTAAATATGGTGAATTATGCCAATTTGGATTCACATACTAATAAGAACGGGCATTGATTCTATTAAGTCCTGATGATATATACTGTACTTGATATGCTTGACAACTTGGAATATATGAGTCTGCCTGTGAATTGGGTCAAACTTGGGTCTC